CCCCCCCCCCCTCGTCTTTTTGTGTCCTTCGGAACGGAGGACGTCGTCGTGTTCCTTCTGGAACAGTCCAACGAATCTCGCCGTGCAAAATTCTTTTTTTTCTTTAGCTAGACCAACGTCTCCGTTACGGCATGGATCGAACGGAACGGTATGGAATACGTACGATGAATGCCGAAGCGCGAATCAGCCGTAAAGAATTCACGACGCAGCGCGGACAAGATGAGTTCGCGGTAGTGTCGCGAATGACTGCCAATAAGACGACGGGCTACGGCATTCGGTGATCGAACGCTTCGATTTTATCGGCAGAAATTTATCGGGCGTCCGTTGCTGCGCGCGTGAACGTACCACGCTGAGAAATCGTATTCGGCCGTTCGCGCTACCAGATTCGTCCGAGCCGCGTCCGTCCGCGAGGTGAAACGCGTGAAAATTTCAGCTGCGTCGTCCTCGGGGATAGAGAGGACGTTTCGAAAGGAACGCGCGAGGAAAAGCGATGCTTTCCGATCGAGGGGATTCCCGACGGAAATTCTCGAGCGATTCGGACCCGCGTTCGGCGAGCTTATACCAACGATTTATGAATTATTTACACAATGAATTATTCATCGTCGGAAGATTGGTATACTCGCGGCGCTCGATCGTAGCCGATATGCAATTTGAAAATGAGTTTGCAGCGAGCCACGATAAGGTGTGCGTGTGTGTGTATATGTATGTACGTGTGCGTGTGTGCTCGCCATGGACGTCGCCGTCCTCGTCGCACGTCAAACATTATATTAGGTTGGCGAATAAGTTCGTAGCGTTTTTATATTTTCTTTTATTTTACCACGAGTTTTTGCTGTTCGACAAAGTGTATAATATTCGTTCGATAGAGCTCTTTCTGCTCTACAAAACTGTGCTAATCGTCTCTTTGAGTAATTTAATTTTTTATTACTTTCGAGGCTTAGAAATGGAATATCCAGCAGGTAAAAAGCAACGTTTTCGACACCTTCTCTTCTTCGCTTTTCATCGAGGCCAAAAAGCTGCCGAAGCAGCCCGGGACAATTGCAACGTATTTGAAGGAGTCATAGGCGAGTCTACAGCACGGAAATGGTTTGCGAAGTTCAAAAATGGCGATTTTGACGTCGACGACACGTCCCGCAGCGGAAGACCTTCTGAATTCGAATTTAACCCAGGCTCCCAATATTTCGGCGAATCCCATTGAATGAAGACGATTGAGAATCGTTTTATGATCGCAGTTCATTTTTTCGGCCAATTCACGACTTGTTCGGTGACCGTCCTCCTTCAAAAGTGCTTCGAGACGCTCTTCGTCGAATTCGGAAGGTCTTCCGCTGCAGAGCGTGTCGTCGACGTCAAAATCGTCATTTTTGAACTTCGCAAACCATTTCCTGTAGACTCGCCTATGACACCTTCTCCGTATACGTTGCAAATGTCCCGGGCTGCTTCGGCAGCTTTTTGGCCTCGATGAAAAGCGAAGAAGCGAAGGTGTCGAAAACGTTGCTTTTTACCTGCTGGATATTCCATTTCTAAGCCTCGAAAGTAATAAAAAATTAAATTACTCAAAGAGACGATTAGCACAGTTTTGTAGAGCAGAAAGAGCTCTATCGAACGAATATTATACACTTTGTCGAACAGCAAAAACTCGTGGTAAAATAAAAGAAAATATAAAAACGCTACGAACTTATTCGCCAACCTAATATAATGTTTGACGTGCGACGAGGACGGCGACGTCCATGGCGAGCACACACGCACACGTACATACATATACACACACACGCACACCTTATCGTGGCTCGCTGCAAACTCATTTTCAAATTGCATATCGGCTACGATCGAGCGCCGCGAGTATACCAATCTTCCGACGATGAATAATTCATTGTGTAAATAATTCATAAATCGTTGGTATAAGCTCGCCGAACGCGGGTCCGAATCGCTCGAGAATTTCCGTCGGGAATCCCCTCGATCGGAAAGCATCGCTTTTCCTCGCGCGTTCCTTTCGAAACGTCCTCTCTATCCCCGAGGACGACGCAGCTGAAATTTTCACGCGTTTCACCTCGCGGACGGACGCGGCTCGGACGAATCTGGTAGCGCGAACGGCCGAATACGATTTCTCAGCGTGGTACGTTCACGCGCGCAGCAACGGACGCCCGATAAATTTCTGCCGATAAAATCGAAGCGTTCGATCACCGAATGCCGTAGCCCGTCGTCTTATTGGCAGTCATTCGCGACACTACCGCGAACTCATCTTGTCCGCGCTGCGTCGTGAATTCTTTACGGCTGATTCGCGCTTCGGCATTCATCGTACGTATTCCATACCGTTCCGTTCGATCCATGCCGTAACGGAGACGTTGGTCTAGCTAAAGAAAAAAAAGAATTTTGCACGGCGAGATTCGTTGGACTGTTCCAGAAGGAACACGACGACGTCCTCCGTTCCGAAGGACACAAAAAGACGAGGGGGGGGGGGAGAAAAAAGGCGGCAGGATGATGATTTAACGGCGTCGCGGCCGATCGGGCTCGTCTGCCGTGAAAGAGCGTGAAAGGGGCGTTGCGGCCCGGCGCATTAAAATATTTACGAATGTGGCGCGTTCTATCCACGGAGCGGAGTGGCATTGGTCGAACGCACGGAGAACGCGGCGCACGAGGGCGGCGTTGCGCGTGTACAAATCATGCGAAGAATGACGCAGCGGCGGCGGCGGCGGCGGCGGTTGCGGCGGTGGCGGAGGCAGACTCCCTCCTCTCGCCTATCTTAGGGACGAAGCAGACTACATATACTCCCTTTCCTCTCGGCATTACTCCCTGTTCCCTTTGGCTCCGGTTCTGTCCTTATGCGCCGTCGTGGCACCGGGCGTGGGGTGTCGCGGTGTCGGGGACCTCATGCTGCTGCGCAGCCCTCGATGCGTTCGTTGCATATTAACCGAGAACAACGCGCCGTATCGGCGTATGTGCCCTTTCGTGAATCAGCATACAGCAAGTCACCGGCTCGTTCGCCGGAACTCGCTTGCTTAACCTACTCCCGACTCGTCTCCTCTCCGGCATCGCCGGCGTAAACGTCGACGTCGCCGACATCGACGTCGAAACATCGGCGTTCTCATTCTCGATCGTGCCCGTCCCCCGAATGCCCTCGTTCGATCTTCGAATCCCCGTGTCCGTTCCTTTAAAACGCCTTTTGCTTCCAGCAGACGTCGGACCTGGACACGTTACTGTGCAGACAGGATCTCGACCGACTGCAGAAACTCGACGAAGATGACCCGGAGAAGGACACCAGGGAGTCCTCGATGCAGATGGAGGACTTCTTCGAGGTCGGCGGGCCGGTCTGCCGGCCGCAGGCCAGCTTCGTGTCGTCGAGGAGCCATCCGACGGGCAACGACGACGACGTGTTCCTCAGGCCGCCGCTCTGGGAGGACATCACCTCGAGCATACAGAAGCTGGACCCGGAGAACGCGGACATGCTCGGCTCGCAGTCCCACGTCAAGATGGAAACGGACGACGTGACGTCGCCGGTGCTGTCGCCCGTCGATATCAAGAGCGAGCCGCTGCCGCCCCCGCCGACTTTGCACCTTCTGGAGGGCCCGGTCTCGAATTCGGTGCAAACGTTCGCCACGACCGCCGTCGTCGCGGCCAACGGACATCGGAACCCCACGAACGGGCAGCGGGTCGTTCACCATAGAACACCGACGCCGGCCTTCAAGACATTCCCCTCGAACAACAACAACAACAACAACAGCATCCACATCAACAATAACAACAACAACAGCAGCGGCGGCATCGATAACAACGGCAGCGGCAATGTCGGCATCGGCAACAACGGTAGCGGTACAAATAGCAACAACAATAACAACTGCGGTAACAACAACAACAACAACAGCAGCAGCAACAACAACAATAACGATTCGACGCCGAATCATCAGGTCGGTGGGAACGCGTCGTCCCCGATCTACGGCTCGATGACCAGGCTGATGTACATTTCCCCGTTGACGCCGCCAATCTCCGATCCCGGCTCGCCGATCGGGGTGGCGCCGAGGCGGACCCCGCCGCCGCCCTACCCTCAACCCTCCATCATGAATCCTGCTCACAGAATTCAGCATCCGGGCATCACCACGAAGTTCAATAGGCGAAACAATCCGGAGCTCGAGAAGCGACGCGTCCACCACTGTGATTTCATAGGTGAGAATTCTGCAGGCCGGTGTACGGTAATGTCTCTCTAATTGACGCTCGGATCGTCCACAAAGACGGACAATTTAGGAAGAGGAGATACGATTATTCGATCCTTGCGGTTCATTTTTATACAGGCTGTCCCGAAAATGTCTCGCAATCTGGAAATGGCGGGTTCCTCGGATCATTTGAAGCAACTTTTTCCTTTGCGAAATTTTTCTCCGAGACACCGTTAACGAGTTATTAACGAAAAACAGTGACCAATAAGAATCGAGTACGGCTGGCGCGAGGCGGCCGAGCCAACGGCGCCAGCGGTCGGGGCGGTCGAATCCCAGCTCAGCTGGCGCGAGGCGACCGAGCCAACGAGCGGAACTGGGCTTCGTGCGCTGGTTGGCTGGGCCGCCTCGCGTCAGCCGTACTCGATTCTTATTGGTCAACGTTTTTCGTTGATAACTCGTTAACGGTGCCTCGGAGAACATTTTTGTAAAGGAAAAAGTTGCTTCAAACGACCCGAGAAACCCGGCACTTTCGGATTGCGAGACATTTTTGGGACATCCTCTGGTTACGAATTGTCAACAACTATAACAACGAGCTGCGAGGCTCGAATAATCGTATCTCCTCTTCCTACAATGTCCATTTTTGTGGACAATCTGAGCGTCGGTTAGGGAGACATTGCTGTACCTGTCGCCTCGGCGACACGCGACGCGACGAGACGAGACGAGACGAGGTTCCGGTCGCTCGCGATCGTCGCGTATCGTGGATCGTCTCGTCGCGTTCAACAGTTTCGAGAGCCAAGTTCACGGTGGCCGTAACCATTTTTTTCTTTCAGGTTGTACGAAGGTATACACGAAGAGTTCGCATCTGAAGGCGCATCAGCGGATACACACAGGTGAGTCGATTTCGTGCGGCGAACGGCCGAGATAGCCGGATAAGCCGGCCGACAGCGGTTTAGGGGTAAACGGGAGGCAGGGAAGACGGAATGGCCGAGGTAATTAGGTATGTAGCTCATCTACGAAGCGGGACGAAGCGTTCCGTTCGAAAGCGCGAGGTCGAGTCGAGTCGCGGATAGAGTCGAGGCTCTCGGCGTGGGCAGGGCGCGGTTCTTGCAGCCTCTCCTTCGCCTCTCGCTTCTCTTTCGCTTCTCTCTCCTCGCTTTTCGTCTCTCCCGCCTCTCGTCTCTCGTCCGTATCGCGAGACGCTTCGCGTTCAGACTCGCGACTCGCGACTTACGGCCGATCTCTCTCGCTCTTTCTCTCTCTTCTTCTCTCGGTCTCTCCCACTCTCCCTCTCTCTTCGTTCGATGCTCGCCTCCCCGTCTCGCCCGCCGTTGCAGCGTTTCCGTCTGTGCGCGCAGTGTCGCGCCAAAGAGACTCTATATCGTATGTAAACGTATAAGGAACGCGCGAAGCGTGGTATGCGACTCTCCGCTTCGTAGACTCGAGCTAGCGACCCACATCCTGCCCGTATCCAAACACGCTGCTCGCTAACGCGCTTCTACCAACACCTACGTGTATCCGCGCGTACGCGAAGGAGATCGTGCGCGGAGATCGACTAAGCTCGCCGAGATCGTCCGAGATCCTGCTCTCGGCCGAGAAAATTCGCCGGTCCGATTTCACCGGTGACAGATTTTCTCGGGAGAACGAGAGAGACTCGGCCGATACGCGATTTCGCGGCCAACGGTCGCCGGTTAAACCCGTAACCGGTGATTCGAAGCCGACACCGTCTTCCGGGCCGACAGGAGTTCAGGCGCCCAGGCAAAGAAACGATTCGCGTTTTGTATCGAGCAGAGGGGTGGAACGGCGGCGGGTTCGTACGCGGTGAAATTCGTTTATTCGGTATGTGTGTTCGAGCGTCGAGAGAAGTACGCGACGAGCGTGCACGTTCGACAGCCGCCCGTGGAATGCAAGCCGGAGGCATCTCGTGCGAGATGTACCACTTTCGAATCGGTATCTCGAGGATACGCGAGGCGGTGACCCGTGATCGCGCCCCTCGTTCGCCGCTAAACCGCCGACCGGCTTCTATAGAAACCGACGACGACTATCTTCGGTTTACTTCCACCGGAAACTTCGGCAAAATCTGTGGCGCGGCCGGAATTCCGGGTACGACTTCTCCGCTGGAAAGGTCGGAATTTTGTACGTCCATTTGTTCTGTCGCGAAAGCGGTACAGTAATTTCTCCCTAACTCGCGCACGGTTTCCGCACAGAAATGGACGATTTGGGAAGAGGAAACGTGATTGATCGAGCCTTGCGGTTCGTTTTTATAGCTGTTGACAATCGGTAACTAAGAAAACGAGGCGCAGGGTTCGAATAATCGTATCTCCTTTTCATATATAGTCCATTTTTCTTTACAATCTGAGGGAAAATTGGGGAAAATTTACTGTAATATAATACCGTAATACCTTCACATGACCTTGCGGCTCGATTTTATAGCTGTTGACAATCGGTAACTACAAAAATGAGCCGCGAGGCTCGAATAATCGTATCTCCTCTTCCTAAATAGTCCTAAATATAGTAAATAGAGACTTTACTGTAATATAATACCGTAACACCTTGTGTGTGTGTGACATATCCTTGCGGCTCAATTTTATAGCTGTTGACAATCGGTAATTACAAAAATGAACCGCAGGGTTCGAATAATCGTATCTCCTCTTCCTAAATAGTCCATTTCACTTTACAATCTGAAGGAAATTTCGGGAGAATTTACCGTAATATAATACCGTAACACCTTGACATAACTTTGCGGCTCAATTTTATAGCTGTTGACAATCGGTAACTACAAAAATGAACCCCGAGGCTCGAATAATCGTATCTCCTTTTCCTAAATATAGTCCATTTTTCTTTACAATCTGATGGAAAATTGGGGAGAATTTACTATAATATAATACCGCAACACCTTGACATTACCTCGCGGCTCGATTTTATAGCTGTTGACGATCGGTAACTACAAGAATGAGCCCCGAGGCTCGAATAATCGTATCACTTCTCTTCCGAAATTGTCCATTTTCGTGCGCCATCTGAGCGCGAATTACGGCGAAATTACTGTATTTCGAATCGCCGCGACGCGGGGTGCCAGCGGTGAATGGCAAGACGAAAGAGGAAAGAGGCGAAGGAGGAAAAGAGTAGTAAAGGCACAGTGGCGTAGTCGAGTGTAGCGGTCCACAGGCGCGTGGCGCTCGTCTTGAATGAACCTAACCGATGCGAACCGAAGCGGACCGAGGCTGACCGTCGAAGGTAACCGCCCGCGCCCACGTCCAAGCCCGAACCCGTACCGTGCATCGCTCAGTTCTCTTTCTCTCTTCCTCTCTCTCTCTCTCTCTCTCTCACTCTCTCCCGCGATCGTCGTTTTACCCTATGCCATTCGTTCTCTCTCGCGACGCACACGCGTTCCTCCCTTGACCCGATCCGACCCGGCGACCCTTTGGTCCCCGAGCAGAAAAAAAATATCGGCCGATCGCTTATAAATTATACCGCGTCCAAGCCGAAACGTCTATATTCGAGGACTGTTCGAGAATGGTTCGTGAGCGGACGTGGATCGGTGCTCGATCGGTCCTCGATCGGGCCCACGATCGACGCGAAGGCATCGCCGCGCGTTTAGTATTCTGCTAATACAACGACGCGCGTTATACCGTGTGTAACGTGTACACGTTGCGTGCTTGTTAATAGGAAAATTTCGTGCCCGTCGACAGGCTCGGTCGACAGAGTTTCGCGCGAGACAACCTTGGAGTCGGCTCGTTCGTTTTTCGCGTGTTCGAACGCGAACGTTATCGGGATTAACCCGTAAATTACCAGAAAAAAATGCGCATCGTCGCTCCGATGATCGGTCGCCCGGATAACCATGAAATCCGTGGAAAAAGGAATATTCCCTCGCGTCCCCCGCGGTCCCGATGTCGGGATTCTACGACGTCGGGAAAGGGTTCGTATTTCAATTTCAATTTCGCGTACATAATTTGGCGCCTATGCGGGTACCGTAACGTGTGTCTATCGTCCGAGATTTTAAACAATGCTCGCGGCTGTGCGCCGCGAGACCAGGGCGAGACAACTTCCACGCATTTCATCGGTGTATTCGGCGACTGCTTTTATCCTCCTTCGGGGTCCCTTTCGCGGTTTCGAACCTTCCGATGACGGAGAACCGATTCGTGAGCGAAGAACCAATTGTGCTAGGATCGCGATCCACGATGCACCGGCGTGCACGGACGCGTGCCGAGAGCCGAGAGCCGAGCGGCGAGGCGTGCATTCGCGGGAGGTCACCATCTTTTTCGCATCTCGAGTGCAACGAAGGAGCACGCAACGCGACGAGATGAAACGCCGCGCGTTTCCACCCATAGATACGAGCGCGCGCGGCTCACGGCACGGCCCACAGTGGTATAGAAGCCTGAAATCATGGTCAAAATCCAAAAAAAAAATCGAAGTTGTCGTTGGGGAGTTTTTGACTTACGGATTGATTAGTTGAACGATGCGTCCGTGTGGTGGGAACAACGAAATGACCCATACTTCTATACCTGAATGCCAATTACACTTCGAATTTCGAGTTTTTTTTTTTGGTAGTCATTACTCGCGAGCGTGAGCGATAGTACGAGGTGAATAGTTTAAATATATTAATAAATAGTTTAAATAGTTTAAAGCGTGTATGTTTTCGTGGAAGTGCTTTTTTCAATTGTGTAAAATGGAATTGTTCCTGGTGCTAAGTACAACATTTTGTACCGCTAACGTCTCACGAATTGTTAACTATTACATTGGTAAATCGATAGATTGTAGATTCAAATTATAAAAGCAAATTGAATGCAGTTACTGTAAAGTTATAGTCGAAATTTTTGCGGCCTATGAGGGCCTGCTTTCAAATTTACCGGAGCTATAATTATAGTTTCGTCCAGCTGCACTGAAAAAATTGGCTGCATCGCGTTGCACTTTTTTCAGTTGCAACCATTTTTGCGAGTCAACGTACGGGAAACCGTCTCGCGGGAGTATCTAAGACAGAATAACTTCCTAAAAATCGTGCCAAATTGCTTACATTGTTTCGAGATGTTAGAAAAAACACTTTATCAGGCAATGTCGAAGATTATTTTGAAAATTATTTTGTTGTTAGATTGAGAAAAATGTTTCAATTTTTGGTTTTTCATTTTCAGGATCTCGCGAAAGTCGATACTGTCTAACTAGGAAAGAAGTGTTCCTTATTGTTAAAGAAAACTTAAATAGTGACAATAATTCAATAATAGAATATTTTAAGCGAAAAATATTGCAACGAGAAGGATTTGTGGTCGACACGAACGATGATGTGACACGAGCCATGGAAAAATTATTTTCTGCCTTGAGATGTCAGCAAACTGAATCGTTGAAGTCGTTCCGAAAATTTTATTGTCGAAAACATTACTGTAGAATCTTGGGGAAAAAACAAGGCTACTGTATACAGGACCTTCGGCTTCGTAGCCGATCGACCTTCCCGCATAGACACGGAACCTTCCTNCGCGCGTTATACCGTGTGTAACGTGTACACGTTGCGTGCTTGTTAATAGGAAAATTTCGTGCCCGTCGACAGGCTCGGTCGACAGAGTTTCGCGCGAGACAACCTTGGAGTCGGCTCGTTCGTTTTTCGCGTGTTCGAACGCGAACGTTATCGGGATTAACCCGTAAATTACCAGAAAAAAATGCGCATCGTCGCTCCGATGATCGGTCGCCCGGATAACCATGAAATCCGTGGAAAAAGGAATATTCCCTCGCGTCCCCCGCGGTCCCGATGTCGGGATTCTACGACGTCGGGAAAGGGTTCGTATTTCAATTTCAATTTCGCGTACATAATTTGGCGCCTATGCGGGTACCGTAACGTGTGTCTATCGTCCGAGATTTTAAACAATGCTCGCGGCTGTGCGCCGCGAGACCAGGGCGAGACAACTTC